GGAGAGAGAGAGAGAGAGGGGGGGCAGAAAGGGTAAGCTATGGTAGGTGAGGGTGAGAGATAGGGAAAGACCAAGAGAAGAGGGGGAAGGGGGGAAGAGAGAGGGAGAGAGAGAGAGCAGGGGGAGGGAGAGAGACGGCCGACGCCAGTGGCCTGTAACTCTATGCCTCTATGAGCTTCGATCAATAGAAGCGAACAACATTGCACCGAACGCCACCGAACGCTAAAACAGTTTATGCTACGTCCGCGAACGATTTTCCGAAATTACCTGTTGGGAGGATGTGGCTGGTTTGCTCGAGCGGCTTTTTAGGCCGAGTCGCGTTTGAAATTAAGCCCTCGTCGGAGAAAATTTTCTAGCTTCGTTAATTTTCGCACCGCGCACCAATGCTCGTTAAAGTAAGAGTTCCTTTTGCCCCGTGTCAATTACACGATCGATATTTATGATTTATCTTTAGGGATGTGCCACCCTTAATGCATCCCTAGATTTATGTTCGAGGAAACATCTAAAAAAAGGACGAGATTATAAAATTTACAAGAAAAAAAAATCACTTTAATATTTGCATTTTTATAAAAATTATCTCATCATTTTATATTCAATAATATCTTATAATTTTATTTCATTTCTTCTTAAAACGAAAAAAAAAACAGTTTAAAATTTTTACACTTACGATGGATATCTTTTTCTTTTCAAAAGAGAGAATTGTAAGGATGGAGTGAAAAATAAAGGATTCGACGTCAAAATTTCACTGAAATCAGAGTATCCAAGAATATAAATTATAAATTATGTTTTCTAACAAAATTGTGTGATTGTATATAGCGTGCAAAAATATTTATTATCTCGCTTCCGCGATTTCCACAACGTCGATTGCACGATTGAGGCATGTTCATCGAGTGTACCTATCGAAAGTAATTTTTCACCTTCCGTTGAGAGAGAGAGAGAGGGGGGGGGAGGGGAGAGAGAGAGAGAGAGAGAGAGGGATGATCGCGCGAGCGATAAATAAATGCGTGAGCGAGATGAAACTATGGGTGCACGTAGGGACGTAATTTGATTCGAGAGCGGGTCGGAATTCGATTGACAGGCAAGCGGAGTTGCGCGTGTCTATATGGAATCTAGCTGCGGGGCCAATGACGAATTCGACGTGTTTGATTGCACCGTGGAAACGGCGCGTCGCGCGGCTTGACCGGGATTATATAAAAATGCCGACTGCGTTGTGAAGAGCTCGAAAGTTGTTCGACAACTCCAATGCTGAGACATCCAGTTAAAACATGTATATTAGGTATAACCAATTTATTATTACTTCGCGAAACTTTATAGTCTGCTGAACTATGTTTATCAAATAGCTTGCGGAACTGCATGTATCATCAATCAAATGCAAATCCGATGAAGATAAGGAGAAATCGCGGAATTTACTTTTGCACGCTCAATTATGAGCGTGATTTTCAAGTGATTACTCCGATTTAATATGAATCTGCGCTGTTAAATTCATAATAAACAGATTATACTCAATTTGAGTTATTTTTAATCATTTCTATAGATCGCCATTACTCCTACTCAATACGTCGTTAATTTAATTGAAAAATAGAGTTAAACAATTTGATTCACGAAAATGTATTAAATTTGATTTCAAATTCAGTTTATTATTTACATTTATATTCGCTAACTAACAATAAATGCATACATTAATACGGACGTTGTTTTGAGACTAAACTACAGAAATGGATTGATTTATATTTTGACGTGTATTGGAAGATAAAAATGTTATTTAATTCAAAGGGTTGAGTTATCACCGTTCTTTTGATATTTAACAATATAAATCCATCATAAATATTACAATTTACGAGAAGAAGATTTAATATATAATAAAACTTATTAGTTTTTTGGTTAGTTTTTTTAATTTCTTATTGAAGATTCGATATATTTTGTATATTATATTTAATATGTCATCTTTAATTTTGTATATATTACGTTTATTTAGCGCATGCTATTTTGTACATTTATACAACATTCATCCCTTTTCGCGCGAAATGCAAAAGACCGCGATATCCTTCAGTAATAAGGCAGATCGAATCTAATTCTAACTTTATAATCCGTCCTTAACTCGTGTTTAATCCAGTTTCAAAGCTGACTTATTAAGTGAAAATCGCTGCGGAAACTTCCTCAACGCAAGCTCTGTAATCGAACTTAATGCATTACCTCTCAGCGCGCTATATATATCCGGCATTCTCAAAAATTTATCGTAAAACTTTCGTATCTTCCGGAACTACCGCATTTTCTTCCGGTCCAGTTCCGTTGACAAATTCTTCCTCGGGGAAAAGTTAGCTGACTTCGTACATTAAATCGGTACATTTGCAAACATGTTGGAATGCAAATATGCAACTGCATTACATGAAACTGTTCTTTACGACATAAGGAGGAATATAGATAAAATTTGCATGTATTCTTAAATGCAATCTATAGATAATCTTATTACAAATATCGTTCTTTTAGTTAAAAAATGATACAAAATGTAATTTTTGAGTCAAAAACAAATAAAAAAATATAAGACACTCTTACGTATAGTAAGCGAATTAACCAATCGTATAATGGAGAAGTTTAAATAATTTTATATCCTCTCTATTTCAACATTTCATTTTCTATTCTAAAAAATTGTCGAAATTGTCTTACTTATAAAGCACTTTAAAAAAATAGGGTTATAAAAAATACTATTATAAAAATTACTATTTTAAAATTTTCACATATTCCTAAGAGTAGATTGATTTTTTTAAGGATTGTGCATGAAATGAAAATGACAAAAAATTATTGATTAATTAAAATAATATCAGAAATAAAAATAAATTAATTAAATAACATTAGAAATAAAAATAAATTAATTAAATAATATCAGAAAAAGAATACATTCTTAATGTTAATCTAATTACAGTCAAGATGATATTTGATGTCAAGAATATATTCTCTTTACGGATATTATTTAATAATTTTTTGTTAAATTGAAAAATAGTTTTCCGCTTTTTTCTGCGGAACCTAATTTGTTTAGTTGTATCACTTTTGAAGTAAGATAGGATTGCCGCCCGTTGTCTTTTCCCCAGACGTCTTCTTTTTTTTAGGACCGGGAATGTCCGGGGGGGATTTTCCGAAGGAGTTCAAGATAATATATTAAGCAATGCCGTATTAACCCGATTTGCGTCCTTGGGCTGAAATATTTCGAGCGCTCTTTTATATAAAATATAAAAATTTTTATTGGTAAAAATTTATTCAGGAATCATATTAATTAAAAAATTTATTTTTTCAAGATTTTGTTTAAAAAAAATCATTTGTTTTGGCTAAAGTACTTACAACACAAAAATATGACAAAAATGCGAAAATTGAAAGATTTATATTAAGTATTATACTTAAATACGATTTTTCTAGACTTTAATATAGAAAATTAATTGATAATATCGTCGTAATATAAACTTATAGTAATTTCAGGTTTACTGCGAAGATATATTAACAAATGCAAACCAATCAACAAGGCCACTGTTAACGCACTAACATTTGTAAAGATGGCGCGTGCTAGAATTACGTAACACGACGAATAGATAGCTTCACTTCGAATTATCTTAGGAGGATGTTGGACCAAATTATTGACACATTGCAGATCATTAAAAATCTCCGAATTTATTATACGGAATCAAAAATCCTTTAACAGGATTAAAATCGACGCAACGTTTCTCTAATTTTTTAATATTTTTCAATGCGTAACTAAAAAAATTCTTTCCAAAATCTATCTATTCTTTCTAAAATTTACCATCCTTAAAAATTTATCGCCCCTAAAAATATACTTTTCTGAGTCTTTCATGCCCTAATATGGCTCTGCTATGTCCAGGAGTTCAAGGAATTCTCTAAGTATTTTGCTTTTGACTCTTTTCATATTATCCTGTATTATTCTCGATTTACGATACAAAGTATAATTAAAGCTTAATATAGTTCAAGCCGTAAGAAATTGTCCAATTACAATCGAATGTGAGAAGAATAATTGATTATGATTGGTCAATTTCTTAAAAATCACGATGCTACTATTGTGCAATGTTTTTTTTTTTTGTAATTTGTCTATCGGATAGAAGTTCTATATGTATATTACGTATATATTATATATTGTGTGTGTGTTTGTGTATTATATAAATCATATAGAAACAAATGCAATTCATAAAATACTGCTATAAAAAAAATTTTTTTATTTTTTGAAATTTGCACCATATGCAATTTTATATTCCTCATGTAGAAAACAATTTATGTGTAAAGTTTCAAATTAATTAGAAGCAGCGGTTATTCGGAAATCAATTATTTAAAAAAAAATAGTTTACTTAAAAGATTGGTAAATAAAAATATTAAGAAGAACAGCAAAATATCCTTTACAAACAAGCACATTATTATTATATATAACAAGACAGCGGCAGCTCTCCGCTATAAAATTAATATATAACACTATTGATGGTAAATGAAATAAAATTAAAACGAAAATTAAAATTGTACTAATATATAAAGAAAAATAAGAATGAAATTTTTAATCAATTTTTTAAAT